CTTGATTCTCCAGATAAACAGTTTTGCTTATGGATTTTGTCTACTCCTGGATGATGGTAGTATCCCAAGATTTAGCTTCCAGCATCTAGGCTCTCAGCCTTTCTCTTTTAAGTAGGAGTATGCTGGATCTACTTAGCAGAGTAGTGCCCTGTTCAGTCATGGGAAGCATGTGTAACTTCATCCAGAGCATGAGTGTAAATCCAACTAGAGATGCTCTCAAAATACTTCACAGTCTTAAAACAGGAGGAGGATGCAGAGATTAGATTGAGGCTTTCAAGCAACAAGGGGTAGTAAACTAAGGGGATCATCTCTACTGCCCACAGTGGGTCCTCCAGCTGAAGTGGGCATTACAACCTCCTGGAGGGCTTATTAATGCAAATTGTTGGGTTCTACACCTAGCATTTCAGACTCAGTCGGCCTGAGAATTTGCATTTCTCACAATCTCTTAGCTGACGCTGAAGCAGCTGGACCTCATTTTGAGAAGCCAATGCCCTGCAGCTTCTTGAGTTCTCTTTAACCTTCACCACCAGAAGATTAGGATGGGGTTGGGTGATAATGGCCAGTGTAGTACGTGGGGTTGCAGTTCTGATGATGGTCAGAATGCTATGGCTTTCCTGCAGGGAACAAGACCCAGGCCAAATCATAATCATTTCCAGTTCATGGGAGGAAAGTGGAATTTTAACTACTTACTGTTCCTGAGGTTGTGTACCATTTCAAGTTAGGTCACCTGGTTGGGTGGCTTCCAAAAAACCAGCTTCAGGCCAATGGCAGAAGCAAATCCAAGGCGTTTTTAAAAATACCAGTTCTTGGTCCCTGCCCTAAGATATTTTGACTCAGTGAGTCTGAGTAAGGCTTTAGGACCTGTGTTTTTAACAATATCACCTGATCATTCAATCTTCCATATTTATTTGTTCAAAGGCTTCCTTCTCATGGTCACATAAATGTTCACTAGTGCACATCTGTGTTAAGTATCTTTCCCCAAACTCAGACTATTCCCTTGGTCAGGGGATTAGCAATCTTTTAAATGAAGCCCACCCAATCTTTCTTTCTTTTTGGTACTGGGCATTGAACCCAGGGGCGCTTAACCACTGAGCCACATAACCAGCCCTTTTTTATATTTTATTTAGAGACAGGGTCTCACTAAGTTGCTTAGGGCTTCCCTAAGTTGCTGAGGCTGGCTTTCAACTCACGATCCTCCTGTCTCAGCCTCCCGAGCAGCTGGGATTACAGGTATGCACAACCACACCTGGCACACCCAGCCTTTCTCTGTTTAGATTTTCAGCATCAGAGATAGCAGTGCTGGTAGAATCGGGCCTGTGGTTTAGTCCCTCAAACAGGCTCCTGTAGGCACTTAGGCCTTCTAAGTGTGTTTAGAGCAACACACTTAATGCGTCATTCCTGGTGTGTTTAGAGCAACTGTGTACACACAGGTGACTGACCCAGGCCAAATTATTAATATTCAAATTATTAATGGCATTATTTATACCATAGGAACCAGCTCTTAAGAGCCCCATGTAAGTGTGTTCCCTAGAGTAGAGATAGTCAGAAAGACCGAAGGGCCCTTGAGTAAGCTCATCAATCAATTCAGTCATTCATCCACCCAACATCACTGTGTATGTGCTCTGGAAAGGCATGGGGATATGTTCTTGGGATAAAAAAGATAAGCAAGAAATAGTTCTTGCCCTCAAGGAGTCCACAATCTTGAATCCTAACTTCAGATGGTGAACTATATGCTATCAGCTTTCAAATGTCCTTTGGCATGGGCAATTGTGCTAGTATACATACCTTGAGCATATGAACTGGTTTGGCACGTGTATGAGGGATTTCCAACCATTTCCAACCATCCTACACACACACACACACACACACACAGCCCTAAAACAAAAATACAATATCTTCTTTAATATTTATTAACTCTAGCATCATCTGCAGAATTTTATTTTAGGCTGCAAAGCATAGTTTCCTTTCAAATTTTCCTTTATGCTGTTGTTGCTACTCTATTCTGGAGTTGGTTCACAGTCCACTGGAGGAAAGAATGATGGTATTCATTGTTACGTTGGAAGAGGAAAATCCCTCTTTTTTATAGAGATATAAACACTAATATTAAAAGTATTTTGTTATTAATAAAAAGCCAGACATATTTTTATAATTATTTGTTAAATGAAATCTAAATTTAAATATTGCATAACATTTGTCTAAAATGGACTGCTTTATATTAAAATTCATGTAATGCTACCATTTCTCCAATTTAAGTCAGTCACCATCAAAGAATGTTCAAGCTTGCTATGTTTTTTTTTTTTTTTTGGAGCTAAATATAGTGATTCATATAGTTTGAAGGCATTATCGGACCTCTTTGCTTTTAAACAAGAGAAAATGCACTGTGGAAATGCTGTCTCTCATTTTTAAGGTCATTGATTGGGTTAAAAAGGCAAATGCCTTTTTTCGTTGAACTTCCTTCAATTAAGCCATTAACCTTTTAAAATAAGTGTATTCAAAAATCTATCAAAAAAGCTAAATGAGATTTTAACAAAATCCTGACAATTTCAGCTTAAACATATACACAGAAACCATATGTGCTTAGGAAGAAATATATACACACAGGCATTGTTTACAGAGTGTGTTTTTATATTTGGAAGACACTGAAGGAAGAGTTATTCCATACATACATTATCTGAAATGTACATTCAGATAGCCCACATAGATTTTACATTAAGAGACAGAGATATCTCTATCCACAGTAAGTAGATAGACAGACAGACAGACTTCAAACTTGCACTTGCAGTGTGTTTTTTTTTTTTTTCCCTCATCTCCGGGTACTGCTTTTCAAAATCGCCTCGGGCTACAGAACAGCACCTCAGATCCCCAAGGCCCACTGCCTGGCTCCTAATAGCCACTCTCCATCTGTGTCACATGAACAGCTGATGAGATCGCTCCAGTGTCTGTATTTTGGAGAGCACATCCACCCAGGTTAAAATGCTAGGGTTGCCAAGGAGCAGTCAGAAGCCATTAGTGTGGGTGAGAATTTGCCTTGCAGCAGTTCCTTGGCATGGTGGAAAGCGTGTGCACGTGTCCCTGCGTGAGCCTGTGTGTGTGTGTGTGTGTGTGTGTGTGTGTGTTCTTGTGCAGGCGACCCCCTGGTGGACATGGGTGTGCAGGAGGGTAGGCAGATGCAGACTGGATTCTATATATCCAGTATTCAGAAAGTCAAATGCCTTTTGTTTCCCTGTACACTGGTTTGTTCTTTCACTATTTGGAGTCTCTGTTTCTCTCCCTCTTTTTGTTTTTTTATCATAACAGAAGGCAAAGAAAAAGAGAACAGCAACTTCGGGGTCATGCTCTAGTGTTTGGGCAGATGGAAGGGAGCTGCTTTGCCTTGGGGCAGGGTGGTTGTAATGAAGTGGCCTGTCAGTCTGTAAATAGTGAGGGTCATCTCTTCCATGTGATGGAGGGTATCGCATTGCAGTGAAAATGGAAATGTCAATAAAATTAATCTGCCAGCTCTTTGCTGTGGTTTTTCTGCTTCTCTGGTCAAAGAAGGTTGAGGGTGTTTTCTGCGAGAAAGGAAAAGAACAGGTACAGGGAAGCCCACAGAGCAGATCTCAAGTTAGAAGGCCAGTGACCCAGCGGGCAGGAAGTCTGTGTTGTCGCACAGTACAGGAGTCGGGGAGCGGGTCTGGCAATGAGCTGGTGGATCTATAGCATTCCTCGGGAAGCTCCAGAGCGTCCAGCTCAGGCTACATTGAGCACAGAGTTTATTGTTTTAGGCTTTCTTGGACAAGGTTTTTACTTAGCATGGGATTTATGGCATTTACTGCTAATGAATGTCTATTCTTAAATTACAAAAACCCCCATCTCAGCGCAATTCCCAGATGTCCTTCCAGGACCCTGGCTTCTTAAACACCAGCAGGGAGCATAAACTCTCCACTTCTCTGTTTTCCTCTTTCGTGTGGCTCCAGGCTAATGATGTGCAAGGAAAACACAGCCATCTATAAAGCCCCAGTGCTGTCCCCGTATTCTTCATTTATTTTGCATTTGATTATGCCACAAGTCGGATCTTGTTTCTTTCCTTTTTTTAAAGTTATTAGTTCAAATATTAATGTAGGGATATGGCATATATTGCTGCTCTTGATTGATGCCTTCCCAAAAACAGGAAGACGTGCTCGTATGAATTTTAAGAAAGTAGGGGTCCTGCAATGCCTTGCCAGAAGAGTTTTTCAGATACATAATTTAGATGCCCTCCAGGCAGGCTTTCAAGGCATTTTTGCCGGAGGGCAAGAAAAAATAACTATGACTGTTAAAAGTAAATGATTTTTGCTAATGCACAATTAATGCCAGAGAAAAGCACAGAAGAGAAAGATGTTGATAGAAACTTCTGATTAAGTGAGCACCCTACCTTGATGTGTATCTTTTTCCCCCCTCATGATCATTATCAGTGGTGCAGAGAGCTAAAAGTTTTCATGTCATGCAAATGCCGAGTGCAGGGTCATATGAGGAGTGTGCGAATGTGCGTGCTTAGGAGGTGACAGTTCTAGGAGGGGCTGAGCAGGCAGTGCGTTATGTGCAATCAACAGTGACACAGTTACTGTCACCTATGCAGGCAGCCTAGAATATATAGACTACAGAACATTTAACTTGATTACCCTACAGTATGTGTTCACTCTGGGCATGGGGATGCATTTCCACCGAATGGGTTTTCTGATGGCGGTTTTCCCACATTGGATTCCATAATTGACAAAGAGCTACTGCACTGTGTCAAGCACACAATTATAATTGAATTAATGATATGGGCGAGTGTGAGACACACAAAATTAACATTTGAAGAGGCCTGGTTTAATTTTGTCTTTTACATATTTGTGTCTCCAATTATACTTTAATGAAAGAGAATATACCCGCTTAATGGATTTCTTTCAACAAGCTTAGCTGAGCTCGTCATTAGCCGCACATTGTTGTTGGCACCCTTACTATGTTTTCTCTAATGCGTTTTCATTTCTTCCTACTAGGGGACGGTTTAGACAACAGTGTAGCTTCACCTGGTACGGGTGACGATGACGATCCAGACAAGGACAAAAAACGCCAGAAGAAAAGAGGCATTTTCCCCAAAGTAGCAACAAATATCATGAGAGCGTGGCTCTTCCAGCATCTCACAGTAAGTCACAATGAGAGAGAGAGAGAAAAAAAAAGTTTTTGTTGTTTTGCTAAGTTCTTCTAGCTAATCTCACGATTAGTTTAAAAATTAAGAGTGCCTGTTTTTCTTGAAATCTGATGACCAACAAAACAGTTCAAGTGTTATCAATATTACCATGCAAACAGCATCCTCCAGTAGGTAGCAGGGTTTCATTTTAAGAGGCCAGCAGTGGACCTTACTCAAAGTGGTCAGAGATCCTAAACAGTATATATGAGTAAATGTGTTTTTTTATGCTGAATGATATGAGAGAAACCTCAGATAATGCAACCACAACTAAAGGAAACGGCTGGAAGGAAGGAGCTCACAAATCCATAAACATTGCTGATTATTAACAAAAGCCATCTCTTCCAGGAGGCAAAAAAAAAAAAAAAAAGTATCTTGCCACATGCATGTCCAAGCTCACAGTATCAGGTGCAGCTTTCTTTGATGAAACAGTTTACAAACATGTCATGTATTAATATGACAAATGCTGAAGGGTTATAGGTACTATAATGCCTTTGTTTGTAAGGTGGAAATCAAAGATTTCTTTTTTGCTGTTCAAGTCCATTATCTTAAGAACTAACCCTGTTCACTTCCGGGAGAGGATTAACCATGTGCAACACTTTTAAAGTAACAATTTATCTTTATTCTCCTTTTTGCAATGGGTTTTATGTGTCAGTATATACTGTTGACTCTAAGACTCTCGTGACAAAAAAAAAAAAAAAAGACAATATACTTTTACAGAGGAACTAGGAATGCTTACATTTTATTGTCCACTTGGAAATTCTGAGAAAATGGTAAAAATTTCAGAGGATGCTTCTTGACATGATATTGTTTTCAGACCATTCTGTTTCGGCTAATGCTTAAAAACAGAGGAGCATGTTGGAAGCTGAAGGTCTTTGATTATCCAACTTGTGTGTCGCCATGCTGAATGACATTAGTTACAGTGTCATGGGTCCAGCACAAGGTTCCACTTTTATTTATGATGGTGGCTGCTGATCTGCTCTTCTCACCGGAGCTGCAGAGGGCAAGGGGTGGTGCGGTGGTGAGGAGGGAAAAGTGATAGATTCACATTCCTAAATCGGCCATTTTGATGTAAGGACATTAGTAGCAAACTAAGGTGTATCGATCTGGCCTGTGGTGTCAGGATTAGCTGGGAGAACCAACGAGGCTGCCGTGGTAGTGGTTATTCTTGCCTTGCAGCTATGGCCATTTCAAAGGTCAGGGCCCTGCACGACTCGGCTCAGAGGAATTAGACAGAACATGCGGTCTCTGGGCTGATTACTTAACCAAAGACAAAATAATGAGTCCTAAGCAAATACTGACTAATTGAAAGGGCTGTAAATCCATTACATATTGGTCAGGGATAATCAGGAGTATTTAATCACTTTTATCTATTCAGGAGCACTGAAGCTGCAACAGCAAAGCCCTGAACCTTGCCATGTGGTTATTATTCTCATCATTATCAAAATTACTTCACAGCTGTTCTTTGCTACATCACCTCAGCTGGAGATTTACTAACCTGTAAAATGTTTTTAATTTGGAAGTCGAGTGAGTGTGAGGGGAGGGTTTTCTCATTTTTAACCCGAGGTTTGTTTGGTTAGAGTAGCAACTAAGACAGACAGGGTAGCCGCCTATGGCAGACGGGCTGCTTTCTCCTGACCAGCTCACCTGGCTGCTTTCCTCGCCCCCGTCCTCTGTCATGCTCTGCTTTTACTGGTCGAAAATAAAGACTTGGACAGTTGCTTTTCCAAGCAAACACCTGCATGTGTTTTCAGCCTCTGTGTCATCCAAACCAATGTCACAGAATAGCGGAACCTAGAGGATTTGGCTGCTGTGTTTACCAGTGAGGAAACTGAGACCCAGAAAGGGAAGCAACCAGCTGAAGGTCAAGCTGAGTCCAGGACCCAAGCCTTCCGAGTCACCACCTCATGTACTTTTTCACCATGTTATGATGACTTTGCTAAACTCATTATCATCTTTAGCAGTTGCATAGAAATCTCACAGTCTCTGCCATCAAAACACTCAGAGTCAGAGGGGGGAAATATGGAGAAGCCGAGTGCTGTTTTCTTTGCTTGATTTTAAAACTTCCTGTTCCCCCAGCCTTTCTGCCCATATTCCGTGGGTTGATTCTCACGTGGAAGTGTCAGGAGCCTCGGTAGTTTTCTTGCCTTGTCCCGAGAAGCTCATATCTCCTATCTCCTTGTTGGGGAATGTGCCACCATGCACTGTGGCCACTGGCTGAGAATCGTGGGTGACCAAGGATTCCAGGGCATTTGGTTCTATTGTACTGTGAACTAACTGTAAGAAGTTATCCTCACCCCAGTAGAGCATTCATCTAGTTAAATGTGTACAAGGCTTTGTGCAGAATTCTCTGTTCAACTAAAGTGTTTAATGAATGTCTATCCTTGGGGTGGGGAGAAGACTCAAATAACCAGAGCCCGGGAATCAAGAAACCTGCATTTCAAGTTCAGTTCGCCCCTGTAAAAAGGCTGAATCTCTGTTAAGCCCAGTGAGTTCTCTGGACTTTCGTCTTCCTTGTTTTCCAAATGAGAGGGACACATTGCAGCATCTGTAGCCTCCTTTCCTTGATCCTACATTCTGGTGCTGCTCAGGGACATTAAGTCAGAGCCAGGCTCTGCCTCAGCCTCTATCACCCTTTCCTCTCCCCTTCCTCCACTTTACTGTTCACTAAGTGCTTTATTTTCTCTTCCCCATGACCTTCTTTCACAACTTGGCCCCTTCATTACTTTCTCCCACTGTCCTTGTCTCCCATCCTCCTTATCTTTTCTGCATCTCCCTTGTATCTTAAGGAAATCCCCCCCCCTCCGTTTCTCTTTGAAAATGTTTTCCCTCTTCATTCACACTTTACTCCCACCAGAGAGAAGAGGTTCAGTAACTTTGATGAGGATGGTCCTGTAAAACTTTTAGTTTCCAATCTTTAATGAGCTCAAAGATTTACTCAGCTGTAATTCTGAGCTCAGAAACCAAGAATAGAGAGCCCTAACTAGCGACATGTTAATTTAGACTTCTTTTCTTACATGCACTAACAGGCATGAGGAAGTCCTTGGAAATAGAGATGCCCCAGTATATTTTTCTGTCATTTAATTAATTTCAACTTTCAAAGTGAAATGTTGGCTAGAGCTCACTGAAAATAGATGTAGTCTAAATTATTATTTCATGTAAATTTCTTTACAAGTGCATGATTCAATGTGCATTCCTCCATTATTAGTCTCTTTAACATTATTTCAAACTGGTTTGTTCCCTTTTGTGCAGTATGTCCTGTTCTTGTATTACAATAATCCCCGATGTACCCTTTTTTCTTTCTTTTTTAAAAAAGAAGCTAATTGAATTATCTCATTATTTTAATTTGTTAAGCAAATGTATTTTGCATCTCAGGATGTGTTCTTAAAGAAGGGGGCTGCTGAGGCTTTGCCCCCTGAATGGGCCATTGGCCCATTTTGACATTCATGCATTCATTAACTAGTAGAACATAAAAGAACTCTGGTTGTATTTTTTTTTTCCAAACACCCAACCAGCATGGAGCAACTTTTTCCAATAAGCCACAGGGGTCTCTCTACATATGTTCTCAACTGCAAGCTATTGTCACCTATTCTGAATACCTCAAAAGGCCCAGAGGGGAAAAAAAGCCCACCTCAACAAAGGCCAACTGTAGCAATTGTTAAGTCTTAGTCTCAATATGACAAAAATCATTAACCTTCGTTTTTTCTTGGAAGAACAAATTCCACTACAACTGTAACAGTTAAAACAATCTCTGAAATTCCTGTGTACTACCAACTTTAGGGGGGAAAGGGTAACAAATGTTGATAACTGGTTACAACATGAAGAAAATATTTAAATTAAATCCAAAGTGGAATTTTAAAACCTCAAGCTATTTGATGAATTAGAGAGTTTCCATGTTCAGAGTCAAACACTTTGAATTGGCTTCCTCTGAGTTTCCATAATTACTTTATAGTGTCTAACCACCTATTTCCAGAATATCTTAATAAAAAAAAAAAAAAAACTCCTTTAGAAAATTCACAATAATTTTTAGGAAATAAACTCATAAGTATTTTTTTAGAAATTCAACTAACAAAGATGTTGTACATACATTACTCTCTTCCATTGGTCAATGGCTCTGCCTGGCTTCTCTGGCTAAGAAATATAGAGAAAACTGGAGAAAGAATCTATTAGAAATGTATGTGCTTTTCTAGAAAGGCCTCAATGTAAAAAAAAAAAGAAATCAAATTGTAGGAAAGTATATTCCTTTTGCTAACACATTGGAGATTATGATATCATAAAAGTAAGCTTGCCATTGCAACTATTTTTATTTGACTTCAAAGATAGTCAAAGAAAGAAACAGCAATAATACCCAGGCTGATAGTTTATTTATAACCATGAAGAACTCCTCCCCACCAAGAATCCCTCATTGATCCCACTTGGGCTCTCAGGCACACTTTTGAGAGCCCCCCCTGGTTGTGTTGCAGAGAGCTTACTTTTTTATGGAAGAAGAACAGGAAGTGCTCACACCCAAAGACCACACTGGCTCCCACCAGTTTTTAACTAAAGGTCTTATTTGAAAACACAGGGATAAAACTCATCTGTTGAAGATGTGTGTACTGAATCAGAAGAAAGTTTTACTTAAATGTGACATAACATCATGCAGCCTTCTTAAAATCACAGGTTATAGACACTGTGCCCTTTGTCCGTGGCAAAATGCTTTGCCCCTCTTCATAGCTGTAGGTGTGGGAAAGAGAAATGAAGCCGACCACTCAGTTTTCACTTATTTCATATCTTGCCTATTAGAATGTGTTTCATGAGATTTGGTAAAGGTCTGAGTTTGGTAATAAAAATATGTTTTAACATACATCATCCTTCTGAGTCAGTGTTCCCAAGTTATGAGTAAATACAGTTGTGTCTTGCTTTAGAGAAACATATCTCTTCAGTGAGTTCATCAAGATCTTGTTACAGCAAAATTAGTT